TGGTATTCAATAGAAATAATTCCATTAGAGAGTAGTTGTCGTACGGTGTTATGTCGACGACGAATGTGTCAAGACTTACCGTTATACATATGACTCTGTGCTCTACCAATTGCCTAGCCTAAACCCATTCTTACTCAACAAAGATCCGGAAACAAGATTCTTGCGAATGTCCGGTACATGCAGCACATTGTTGAGAGTGAGTTCCTTTCCAGATGTCATCTTGAGTACAATCTTTCCTTGTCCTTCAACTTTGAAAGTTGAGGAGTTACCCATAAAGAGTTGTTCACCATTGTCAACTATAGAATAAGATGTGAACATTTTTTTGTCGGCACAAATATGGCGAGTAGCACCAGTGTCCACCCACCATTCTTTAGGATTTCCGACAAGATTTGCCTCGGAAACAACTGCAGAAAGATTGATATCATCTATACCATTGGAAATATTGTCCACTTCAGTCATGTGGGCTTGAGCAGGCTTCTTGCTTGTTCTTCTTTTGCTTTTGCCTTTGCCTTTGCTACGTCAATCTTTGGCCCGATGTCCCTCTTTGTCACAGATGTAACATTTGCCATTAAACATGTACTTTTTATTATCCCCCCCTTTAGAGCCTTGTGATGAACTTTCTCCAGAAGACTTTCGTTTCTTGGTTTTTGAAGTATGTTCCACTACATTTGCCTTAGACTCCATAGGATGCTTACCAGCCCGCTTTTCAGAATTGCGGTTGTCCTCCTCAATTCTCAAACGCACAATTAATTCGTCCATAGAAATTTCTTTACGCTTATGTTTGAGGTCGTTCTTGAACTCCTTCCAGCCTTTTGGTAATTTTTCAATTAAGGCTGTAACTTGGAAGGATTCATTGAGAGACATGTCTTCTACGTGAATGTCATGCAGAATGAGTTGAAAATCTTGAGCTTGGTTGATCACAGTTTTTGAATCAACCATTACAAAATCCAAGAATCTGCCAACCACAAATTTCTTTGAGCCGGCATTTTCTGTTCTGTTCTTTTTCTCCAACGATTCCCAAAGTTCCTTTGCTGTCTTGATTGGACTATAGACGTTGTATAATGTGTTGTCAAGTCCGTTCAAGACGTAGTTCCGGCAAAGGAAATTGGCATGTTTCCAAGCATCAACTACAGCAACCACTTGCCGGTCGGTTTCATCCTCTTTCAAGATAGGAGCATCTTCACGGAGAAAACGAGCCAGGTTCAGAGTTGTAAGATAGAACAACATTTTCTGTTGCCATCTTTTAAAGTCAGTTCCTGAGAACTTCTCTGGCTTCTCTCCATAATTTATTGGTACCGTCATCACAGGAGAGGGGGTTGGTGTAATTGCAGCCACCACAGTATTACTTGTTTGGGCATTTGTTTCAGTAGCCATCAATTTTAATTTATAAAACAAATTTATAATTAAAATTTTCAATACACAGAAAATTAAACCAAATTTACAGAATTAAATTCTGTAAAAATAAAAGAAACAAGAATGTAACTTTTATTTTCCAATTAATTTGAAAATAAAATAAAATTTTATTTAAACAAATTAATTCCACACAGAAAAATAAATTCTGTAAAATAAAAGAAATAAAAACTATAACTTTTATTTTTCAATTAATTTGGAAATAAAATAAAATTTTATTTAACCAAATTAATTCCACACAAGAAATTAAATTCTGTAAAATAAAAGAAATAAGAAAATAACTTTTATTTTTCAATTAATTTGAAAATAAAATAAAATAAAATTTTATTCAACCAAATTAATTCCACACAGAAATTAATTTCTGTAGCACTTAAATAATTAAAATACTAAAACAGAATTTTAATTAATGAAAACTCAGAAAATAATTCCTAAAAAACCAAAATTAATTTCCTGACAAAATTTCACAAAAATATATTCTGAATTGTTAATGACAGCAGTATCGTACTACTAGTTGTCAAAGAAAAGAGACAGTATATTACTACTATCTGTCAAATAGCATATAATCACTATTTGTTTTTCTAACCAAAATATTATTTTCTAAATTCACAGAAAATAATTTTCTTCTGAAATTATTTTTGAAGAATGAAAAAAGGAAACAAACGAAAAATTCTGTAAACAGAATAATTCGAATCTGTCTTAAGATTGTTGGATCAATCTTCTGTGTAAATAAAATAACTTGAAATAAAATCAAACAAAATAAATAAATAACATACCGGATTTATTTATCAAATCGAATTAAAATTAAGACCAAGTCGAGTGTGTGACACTCTGTCCTTAAGACAGATTCACCCCGCTACGGTGCTTATGGTTGAGTGGCGTCTATCTCCCAGGATATAATGATCTTCACAAATTTGTAGAAGCACTTCAAACAAATTTGTCTGGCGAACTGGAACCTTGTGTTCTATAACTCTCTGAAATTTATTCCTAATATTTTATATGAAGAATAATGCACTAAAAGAAAATGGACAGTAAAGAGACAAGAATTTCAGACTGAATTTTTCGGATAATCAATCAAAATTGGAATGGGGCTGCCTTTATACAGGCTTTGTTGGCACCTATTCAATTTGAATAGAAAAGGTACGAAGAAGGGACATACCCCTTCCTTTAAAATAAAGAGACACCAAGAAAGGTTTGCACCCTTTCATTCAAATAGAGGTTTGACCCTTCCTTTAAAACAAAAAGACACCATGAAAGGTTACACTCTTTTATTCAAAATGAAGTCTATTTCAATTCACAAATACCTCTTTATAAATTTTCTAACACTTATTACTTAACCTAGAGCACCTTAACAAAATATAGAAAGAGCCAGTGGAGATTGGGACAAATTAGTTAAGTTGGGTTCATACTCCTATGTTATTTTGATATTTCCTTGATTCTAGTGAGGTAAACATATGTCTGGTTTATGCTCAATCTGATTGGGGTTTTCTCAGCTTATAGCAGATGCATTTTACCTCTGTCGACTTTATGGATGTTTTTCTAACAATATTATACATGGCTTACTTTGGTTGTGTTTTCCTTCTTTGTCAATCATATAGCTAAGATAAGCAGTGGTATACCAGTGTGCAAGCTCTACATTTAGGTTAATGAAATTTTGAGTTTGTTTTGTTTAGAATTGGGGATATCAATCTCAAATGTGCAATCGACTGGATATGATTATGGGACATGCCTCACATTCTCAAATGTTGTGGGGGAAATTTTTGTTTTATGCTTGTAAGTTGCATGAGGACTGCACATGCATCTTTTTACATTGGATTGAGTTTTTTGAATGAATTTTCTCAGATGATTTAATTGAAATTATTTAGGAACATTACATTTTTGCTTAGTTGGTTAAATTGCAGTTAAGTAGCTTGCCTTTACCATCCATCCTAATGCCTTATATTTTGTTCAAATGTTTTTGGCGTAGAATTTTGTAGTCTTTCTTATGAATTCATCTTACTGCCTCTTTGTAGGTTATTACATTTGCAAAAATGTCTTTACATTTGTTGTATATAATATTGGAATTTATATATATATATATATGATTGTAGGTATTTTTTATTTATTTATTTATTTTTTTGCGACGGTAAGACGATGGTCGGTCATACATTGTAGGCATTTTTTAAACTCTTTTGCGACGGCAAAATATCAGTCACTATAAATAGGTTAGGCAGTCGCAAATAGTTTGCGACTGCTGTTTTGCGGTCGCAAAAAGTATTTGCCATCCCTACATTCGCGACCCTCATTTGCCGTCGCATGGGCCGTCGCAAAAAGTCTTTTGCGACTGTTTTTTTATTATTTGTGACGACTTGTAATGATCGTAAAAAGTACTTTTTTTTAGTAGTGATGGCAGTGTTGTTCTACTATTTGCTGGCAGAGTTATTATCGAAAGTTGTTATGGTGGTGTGGAGCTGATTTGTGGGGGTTGTGGGTAGTGTCCTGTTCTTGTTCTTGGTGATTTATTTTCTTTTATTGGTTCCTCATCAACTGGTTTTGGCTTGAGCTTCTTTATGTGTATGCTTTCGCCCCCTCTTTATTGATGTATTTTCATATGCTATTTACGGTTTTCATTAGTAAAGTTCTTTTTCGTTGATTAAAAAAAAAAAATAGATTTTTTATTTTTTAAGGAAAAAAAAATGAAAAAAGAGGTGCCTAGAAGTAGTATATATTCTCATGTATTTATTATTATTAATGATCAACATATAAATGGGTACAAAGAACAACAATCTCCCACGTATTATATTACAAATACTTGGACAATATGCGTGTTGTCATCTAATTATATATATGTTTTGGTCAGACTAGTACGATAGTAATATTACAGTGTAAATTTGGACAGTTGTAAATATAAAAACAAATGATGCACTTAATTTTTTTGATTATTTTACATATGAATGAGTCTATACATTCTATGTTTTTATTTATTTATTTATTTATTTTTGATAATCGGATGTCCAAACCAATTTAGGCGCACTTCGACTAATTTCGAGACCCTGAAATTAATGACCGTGCAAACCTCTAGTGGCACCAAGGTTTGGGATGCTTGGCTTTTGTGGGATTTGAATCTGCGACCTCTTGAATGGCAAGTCTTTTGGTTGCTTTCTTCTCCTACTAAGCTAAAATAAAAAAAACTTTAATTTATTGAAATTGTTTATTAATTATTATTATTTTTATTTTGAGAATCTGATTCAAAATATTTGATATAGTTTCTATTCATAGCTTATAAAGAAGAAGTAATATAAATGAGTTCATAAATGTTTATTATCTTGTTCTACATGACCCCATCAATTCCATCATAATTTGTGCTTTTAAATTATAAATTTTTAACTTAAAAAAATTACACTAAACAAGCTTATTGTATACTCGTAGGAGAGTTTGGGGTCATAAGATCACCTGAGCCGATGCATTTAAGTTCAAGAATTTTCTTCCCATAAAATGTATTTATAGGAAAAACAACAAAATTTTATTTTCAGCTTTGAAATTTTTAAAGGGCAACTGGGTAACTTCACATTGAATATTATACAATAATTTATGGTTTGATATTTCACTCTGAAGAAACTGAGCAGTCATGTGGGCAGCAAACAAAGTGAAGTGATGATAATGATTTAAGAGCTCATCATCTGCTCTTTAAACATCTTCAGAGCTCTCCACAGACACAGAGTGATAGAAAGAAAGTTAAGGGGAGAGAGAGAGAGAGAGAGAGGTGTCTGAGGAAAGCTGAAAGGGTTAAGAGAAAAGGAAACCATGGTGTCTAGGGAGCACAAGAGAGCAGCACTGCATGAGAAGCTGCAACTACTTCGCTCCATTACAAACTCTCATGCAGTAATTCCCTGCATTTTCTGAGTTCCTCAATTGATTTCATTGGCTTTCTACTATTATATTCTATACCTATAAGTATATATACATACATGTATGATTCATGTATAGAGACTTATATGGAGACATGTACTCCCCTCATTGTTGTTAATAGAATTCTTGGTTAATTACTAGCTTTGGTCCCTTCTCAGACTCTTATTTTTTTTAAAATTTATTTATTTATTTATATTATTCTTTTAATGTGCTCTTCAAGTTTCAAACCTTTGTTCTCCATTGATCCATGAAGGGTTCTAAAACATAAGATTGCGTGCATCTAGCTCGACCCTACAGACTACAGTAACGGAAACCTTGTGAACTAGGTTGATGTTAGCAAGAAAGCACTGAATACAAATGAAGTAAAAATAAAACTCAACTTTACTGTACCCAATATACCCTTCTCAAACCTTCGTTCAATGGTTAAAACTCAACTTACTAATAACCTTGAGATTGTGACTTGGGTTGTAGTTCAAGTGATTGCACTTAGCTGCTAATGAGGTGAGTTAAAAAAAAAAAAAAAAAAAAAAAAAAAAAATCCAACAACAACAACATTGTAAGTTTTCTCTCTATATAGATTATATTAGGTACAGGCCTAATATATCCCTCCAAAACCTCCATTCAATGTGGACTAAAACTGGAAAGGCTACATTATAAGTTGCAGGTGGACATTTGTTTCTCACCCTGTTGTAGAAAATTTTAAGTATGACTTCTATGGTGTCCACAGGAGGTATTAACTTAATGATGGTGCAAATTAGGTTCTAACTTCTATGGTGGCCACATGTGTTGTTGCAGCTAAACAAAACCTCAATCATAATAGATGCATCGAAGTACATAGAGGAGCTGAAGCAGAAGGTAGAAAGACTGAATCAAGCTATTGGGACTGCGCAAAATTCAAGTGACAAAGATCCAAGGCCCGTGGTATATTTTAATCTCATTTCTATCTTCTATTGATTGAATTTTTCTTAATTTCCATTTCACTGTTTTGATGTTGATCGGTTTCTTTCTTTCTTTCTTCTTCTTCTTCTCGTTCTTTTTATTTTTTTATTTTAACTTGAAAAACAGCAGGTTACAGTTGAAACCCTAGAAAAGGGTTATCTGATTAATGTAATTTCAGAAAAGAATTGCCCAGGTCTACTTGTCTCAATACTTGAAACTTTTGATGAGCTGGGTCTTAATGTGCAAGAAGCTAGTGCCTCCTGTGAAGAAAGCTTTCGATTAGAGGCAGTTGGACAAGTAAGAGATAAAACACCTCTTCATATTGAAAGTATTTCCACATATTATATATAAACATAAAAATATACAGAATCTGCATAAAGAAGACCACGATCGTGATCGGACTGGACGATATTATTGGGCCTGTAAGGGCCCACCACAAGTCCTGTTCTGATAATCTGAACCGTTCAATGTGTAGAACTCGTCAATTATTAAATTCCTGAAATCAATCATGTTGATTAAATATCGATACCTACGTGATCAAATCAATTTTGTAAAAAAAAAATGAATGGTGAAAAAATAAACAGTTGATAGAAATTTGATCCGATGATAGCTATCGATATCTGATCAACGTGATTTTTTACAAACATATATTACTCGACGAGTTCTACACATTGAATGGTTCAGATTATCGAAATCAGATCCGTAATGGGGCCCTCATGGACCCAACAGTATCCTCCAATCTAATCACGGATTAGAAGAAACCCAATCCTATTTTAAAACCAGGTACTCATTAAAATAACATTTAATTACAAAAAATGTCACAAGTACATAACTCAATATAAAAATTCTTTAAGAATATTAATTTTCTTTCCTGCATATTTGTTTTGGGTAAGTACTTTCCTGCATATTAGTCCTCCTTACACACAAACATACTCAGAAATACACAAATTATATTGAACCTTATTAGGACAAGGAATATAATTCACAATATATTTTTTTCAATAAATAAAACCCATTTACCTTCCACTACTGTAACACCTTTGGATTCTTTCCATTTTGTATAGTTTGTTTGTTTGTTTGTTTGTTTTTTTCCATAAAAATTATGTTTGTATATCACAATTGTCACATGCTTGTATGGTTGTTTTAATGCAAAGACTGATATCTAGATTAAAAATTTAGGCAAAATAGACCTATTGCTTTGATGGTAATTCTTGTTGATTCTTGAACCCACTTGGATCCTTGGATCAATCTAACTACTACATGCTTATTCTTCAAAATCATTGAATATCAAGGGAATGATGTATTGATCTAACGGTTGGCAAAAGATGAAGGAAAAAAAAAAGTTTTGCAGGGAAGTTGTTCATGTCGACTTGTTCATGACAGTTCGTTGTCATTTTTATTAAGGATAACAAGAGATTTTTTCCAATCATTTGTTTATTTAACATTATTGATAATTTTATATGGAAATTAAAGAAAATTGATGCGACGTAGCCACATGAGATGCCACGTGAGCTAGAAAACAAAAACCAGTAACTTAAGTGGATAAATGTAGCATTTTTCAATTTGATTATTGATAATGCTAATATTAGTAGTATTCATTTCCAAACCCTGGCATTTTTTGCATTTGCTTTTAAGTGGTGAATAATTTCTATATTTTTTAAAAATTCTTGCAGAATGAAGAAAGTACGGAAAGCGTTGATGCCCAAGTGGTAAAACAAGCTGTGTGTCAGGCTATCAAGAACTGGAGCGAAAGCAATGAGCAAGATTAGCCACCAAAAAAAAAAAAAAAAAAATGTTTAGCCAAAAGTATTTCATTATGATATATTTCTTTAATTCTCTCTTTCTAAGTTTTGTCCCTTTCTGCTGTAGGTTGACAATGTTGTCAATAGAAGGAATTAGTTTTTTAAAAAAGTCACTAGCGAGAGGATGAAGATCACAAGTTCAATTCCAAAACAAAGATTCCTTAAGAATACCTACTTTAATGTTCAACGCAAAACAATCACAAAGATTCCTCTTACCGGTGATGATAAAAATGTTAATAGTGTTCAAAATCCAGGTTTAACTTCCTCATAAACAAAGGTGTCTATTGCACAACATTTACAAGTTACAATAGTTGTTACCATGTATAAAGACACCTAGGTGTTTTTGTCACATCATTGGAGAGGAGTTTGGGGGAAAAAAATTGATATGTAGCATTGCTCAAACTCTAGTATGCCTTCCGGTTGCTGAAACAAGGCTTACAGACTTTGCAAGATACTCTACTTTGTCCAACGCTTGCTTCCACAAGTCCCAAGAGTACAAAGGGTCCAACTTTACTACTTACCAGTGGTGGCATACACTGTTAGAGTTGCACAAATTCATCCCCAGTGAAAAATTTAGAAAACCCCTAGATTTTAATTCGTAATTATATATCAATTTTAAGCAGTAAAAATCAATCTCAATCAAGCAATCAAGACAAATCGACACAACGATTTTAACGTGAAAAAACTACAATTGGAGCGCCTCCAATTGTGATAAAAAACCACGGGCAAAAGGCACAAAAGAATTCACTAAAAAGACAAAGGAATTACACAGGTATATTTTCAATTACCTAGCGAATCCACGCCTAAATTAAATCAACCCCTATGTGCCTTTTCCAGCCTTGTCTTCACCACAGAATTGTCTTGTCCAACGTTTGTAGACGTATCCGAACGCCCCGGGAGGGAAATTCCCCCCCGTTTTGTTCATTGGGTTCACTACAGTTCAGGACTCAATGTCACGGTCCTGTATCTAATCTCGCAGAGTGCAATGCAAAACCGATGAATCCATCAAAGAGTCCAAATCCGGCAAATCGTTTTTGAAAACAGATTTTTTTGAAAGAAGTGCCAAACATGGACTACTTTGCCAGATACAGAGTCGCCACCTAAATATTTTATTTTGAGAAATTTAGGAAACCCTGACTCGTTGCCTAAGGCCACGTGTCCGTCATCACCAAAGTTGCCTCGACTCGAGAACTTGGGTACGATTGGGGAAGGTCACTTCGTGAGCACCCCCGCTCGCCCGATCAAAGATCGGCCTCTACTAACCATGATATCGGGTTTTGAAAACATTATGTGCTCTTATTCCGGATCAAAGATCGACCTCTACTAACCATGATATCTAGTTTTGAAAACATTATGCGTTCTTATTCCGGTTATTAGCCTAGATTTACTATGTGATGCGCACAGCATACAAGTATAGACTGGGTCGCCTGAATTGGAACAAAACATTTCATGTTTGTTTATTTGAAAACGGTTTGCTACTCGCAAGCAGGCTAAAATGTGGATTTGTCACCCTCAAGTGGGCTTAGAAAACATGATAATTTGCCACTATCTAGTGAGCTTAAAACTCACAATTGATGAATTGTTCCAATCCAAATAATCCAACATTCACCCACAGGCATTCAGGCAGGTATATCACATAAGTAATTAGCCTCCTGGTAAGCATGCTATCATGGCAGTCACTTACACACATGCAAGGATGCTAAAGCATAAAACTTACCGAGTACTCCAAGCCAAAACAAAAGTTATGTTAGAAATCAATGCATGATCCTAACTATGCTGAAATGCCTAATGCAACACATACAAAATGCAACTAATATAGGCTCGACTGTTCTAAACATGGCATATGAGGATGCTACAGCTAGCACATATTCAATTTGGAATTTGAAATACAAATGCAGTTAGTATGATGCGCCGAGCCCGGTGCATGCAATACAGATGAATGATGCAAACATGCTATCATACTGTATGCTAATTGAAACATGCCCTAATCTAACCATCATAAGCTGGTAAATAAAAGGGAGAAAGACGTGGGGTTGGAAGACATACATCACACGCACGCACACTTATTACAATTGTGCCCTCGCTCGGAGGGTCCGAAAGAATAATACAGTCCGAAATGAATAATTAAATATTACAAAACCCTAATTAAATAACAAATTAATCTAGGATAGCGAGTAAATTAGCATGCAAGCCTATGGACTGCCTCAACTCTGTTCCAAATGATGAATGATGCATGCTCGAGTTGCCTGGCGCGGAAATCCATTGCAATGCCCCGGTTTGCCTCTGTTTGCAATTGTTTTCGGAATATTGCGCAACGCTCTAGAAGGCCACTGATTTCTGATTTACTGCAACAGAGAGCAACAAAAGGGCATGGCAACGTATTTCACATATGTATGCATGACTATGTAGATGCCCCCGAACGCCTCGGGAGGAAGAGCCCCCGTTCTGTTCGTATTGGGGTTCACTGTGACGCCCCGAATCTACACTATTGGTTGCAGTCAAGGGAGAGTCACTAATGAGTCCTATGGTCAATAACCAAGTAAGATCCCAGATCGCCGAAGGAGTCAAGTTAGCCTCCCTTCTAAGTCCGGCTTTCTTAGGCAGCGCACTACCCTTTTGACAGATCTTAAAAGGTATTGACACAAGGTCTCATAAGCAAGGATAAGGTTCATACATATAAATATATAGAACATAAGTACATAACAACCTCGAATATTCTTAATTCCAAAGGCTTGTTCCATTACATTACATCCCAAGAGAAACTTAAATCTTCACATGAGCCTTACAAAATATCAAAAGGGATTTCTAACTTTCTTAAGATGGCCAAAAGTCTTCGAAGGTTTCAGGTTTGTCGTCTCCAGCTATAAGCTCCTCTTCGGCACCTGGCATGACACGCCGTGAGCTTTGAATGCCCAGTAAACACACACACACCCGATCCCTTTTTCCCAGTCCAATACACAATCACAAATATAACATCAAATAGTAAAGCATGATACTCAACCAAATAAACAAAGGGTTACAAGTTAGATGTTAGTAAACTAGGAATCCCCCAAAGAGATTTCGTCCTCCCAACCACAAGAATTGGACACCAGACTATTCGGAACTCCCCCTTTTGCTGCTTTGTTGCAGAACTAACCTCGGATGCCTACCAACGGTTATATACCGCGTAGCGCCAACCGCAGGGCCTCAAAAGGGATAGCGAAAAGAAAAAGTTTTATCTCCTGAATCCAACCTCATCCTTCCAGAAAAAGTTTTATCATCCTGAATGACCCATCCGGACCCAACCTTATCTCACCATTCAAACCGTCGCAAGGAGTCCGAATACGTCCGTTCCATTCCAGGGTTTACGCGACAACTTCTTGCGCAAAACTTTAACTTTCAAATAGGGAACGCATCCCAACAAACCATATATCACATATTCTCATCTTTTCATTACTCAAGTGCTCGAAAACCCAATACCCTCCCAATTAGGTTTCCCGTTGAAGTTAAATGTTTTACATCAAGGTTAGACAACTTAACAAGATAAAATATCCACACAAGCATGCATCAATAAGGTAAAGAAGTTGAAGAACATAACATAACACATACAATATCATGCCAAGATATGATCATAAGCTAATAAACATTTTTATGAATACAAGGGCATAAAACATCCATACATAACAAAATTTCCAGATTTAATATCACATAAAGATTAAAATGAAAGGACTATTTTAGATCTTCCACCGGACTCAGTCTTCCTATAGTTCATAGAGAATTTGATCTAGTTTCTATATACAATGCATAATGGACTTACACTAACATGAGTGGACCTCAGCCACACTCACATCAGTTGCCAGTAGACGAAAATGAGACTCTCGAAATGCGTGCACGCATGCACGCAAACCGAGGATCAAACCTAAGGCATAGTATGCAACTCTAACAAGGCATGGCAAGGCATGAAATATGGCATACAAGCATGTAATTCCAGCACTAAAATATGATGCTAAACAGCCCCGAAACATGGAAAGATGGCACCCGATGCATGAGATGAAACCCGAAACTCGAAACTAGGCACATGGAATGACTTATAGCTATACAAAGCATGCATTATTTGATCATGAAGCATGAAGACAGAGCCAAGGCAGTCCCAAAACATGAACATTTCTAGTTCAAAGCATGGCCAAAAGATGTTAGCATGGTGGACAAAATAGCATGCAATCTTGACTAGCAATCATGGTTTATATGACAAGTATATGAAGCAAATGTAATCTCACCAAACCAGAAAAAATCAGTGAATAAATCATGTGAAAATAGGCCCAAATAACCACTGATATGCAACCATGATATGCAAAAATAATGAGTTACTTTGGAGGGCCATGCAAGATAGACATTTATCATGGCATAAAAAACTATGAAAATTAAATATGGTAGTTCTAAAACTCACCAAATTGACCCTAGAAAGTGACTTCGAAGCATGCAAGGTAGGGTCTCTTTGGAAGGCCAAAAGGGCCACCAAACAAGAGAAGGAGAGAGGGGGTCACCCCCCTCTAATCTTGGCTCTCAAAACAGTGTTCCAGGCACTGAAAATCCATTGGATTTCAGTGGCTAGAAGGCCAAACAAAGCATGCAATTGGGGCTTAGGTGTGAGGCTCAAAACAAGGGACAATCAAGCATACAAGGAAGCATGTGACCTCAAATAAGATAATGCCTTAATAAAACATGAAGATGATGTCAAAACAAGCCTTTTTTCAGTTTATAACAAGTCTAAAAAATGAACATAAATAGGGCTAATCTATTATGCAAAAATGGCCCTAAAAGAGAGAATAGAGACAAGGGACAGCAGATGGCCCCAAACAGTGAAGAGCCCTTCAAAAAATTTGAATAGGGGCTCAAAATGAAGCACTTTACAGTTTACATCAAGTCTAAAAAATGAACAAAAGTGAGGCTAAATCAGCATGCAAGAAAAAAGCCTAAAAGAGGGATAAAGAGGCAAGTGGTAGCAGCTGACCTCAAACAGTGAAGAGCCCCTCAACAAAGTTGAATAGGAGCTCAAAATAAGGCGCTTCACAGTTTGGCTCAAAGCCCAGAAATGCTCAAAAACAGGGCTAAAATACCATGCAAGATAAGCCCTAAAAG